GTCATAGGCTATGCAAGTGATTAACAACACTTATTAACATAGCCACACCTCCAATTCACACTTGCCCAGGGCAAATGAATTGGGCCTTTAAGGCAAACGTTCACACAAAAGGTTCCTTGTACTTCACATGGCTATTCTCATTCAAGGATTACTACAAGCAGGGAAAAGAACCCAAGGTTATCACGAGAATACCCACAAAGTATTCTGGTACTAGTGGTAGTTAGGGATCACATCAATCTCTGCTATAAGTTGGTCAATCCAAACACCGTACTGCTTTTGTGCAGTATTTTCATAACAATTACATTCAACCTTACAAAAAAAAAATATCCTACCTGTAGATATCGACAATGTTTTCATGAGAAATTACGATGAGTTTCTGATCATGGACATCCAACACCAAAACATCTGTAGCCAAGGTTGTGGTTAACAAAGTATCGCTTTCATATTTACTTCCTGTCCAGGAAAACACTTCAGACTTGGGTACATATGAAAAGTCAATGAAGTTAACTGTATTGGCTACAATGAGATGACTGGTACCACCGTTGACAAAATGTTTGATCTGAAAGATTGCAAAAAATATTGTCATTAATTATCAACCTTTTTAACTATTGGCATCCATTTTAAGTTCACATACTGGTTGCACAAGGAACCTTTATGGAGGAAACTAAAATACTGCATGCAACCAGTGCACCATAACTTACTGAAATATGTGCCATAGCCTAAAAAGCAAGTGCCAACCCTTTGGCTCGCGTTAATCTATAGTGGCTGCATTTTTGACTGCTAAATTTTGTATATGGGTAGACAAACATGAACCAAACAAATGCTTTTTCCATGTTTGACTGAAAAGAGGTACATAGGAAGTATAATTAGGTTGTGGTTTGCGTTAGAAGCGTGTAATTTACATCACATGTTAAGGCTGTTGAAACAATTGCGTGGGAATATCTAGTATAAAAAATTGCTGCCAAGAAGCTTTGAAGAACTATGGTCTTAATTTTCTCGATATTTAGTTGCAAAGAATTCTTAAATTGTCGTTACAAAGCTCTGAAACATACAGATCGTGCTGGTAAGCAATTCGATCAATTTGCATCCATGCTAAAAATGTATAAAGGATGAATTTTGTTATCTATTGTGTGCATCAACACCAATATGTACTGCATCTCCAAAGCGGGTGGGAGGACAGTGACCGAGAGGAGGCGATTACATGCTGTACAAGCCTTCGACTCTTGTCCAATGCACATTTATAGACTTGTATCCATTGGTAGACAATGCTTATATATTCATATGGGTAGTTACATAATGATTCTGCTGCACCTCAAGTCATCTTTGCCACTCATTCGCAGTTATGTCAATTTACTAAAATCAATTTTGGTTTTTGAGATCTATTACGGGAATAAATGTACAAATGAGAAATGTAAATGACATCCTGCGACAGCAAGCAACCATACATACTGGAAACTGGATCATTGAATTCAAACCAAATACAAATTGTCAAAACTCACCGCATTGGCACCAAACGTATCAATAGAATATCTCCAAACAAATCCGCTGGTTAAACTAGACATACAGTAAATGTAAGATTCTATAGCCGTATTGTAATCATTGTACATCTTGTTAGCGATTGCAATGCACAGCTCTTGTGTATGTGGATGAACATAAACTTCCGCATCGGATGCACCATAAGATGTCAATTTCTGATACAGACTCAGAGAAGAGGTAGTAGAATTCCATTCGGCAATAGACACTTCCCCAGCATTGGGTATTTGGTGGAGTTTGGGAATTAGCTGGGGAAAAAAAAAATGAAATTTATAATCTGGTCTAATGTACTGTTTTATGATCACATATTCATGACATTTTAGAATATTTACTGATTGTATCTTAAAGACCTGAAACCAAATGTTAATTGTGACATGAATTTGCACAAATTGAGAGATCCGAATACTCAAAACAGAACTGTATTTCTATAAACACTATGCCAATAAATAAAAGTCAAAGAACTGTTGTTTCATTTTGATCTCTTGCTTGTGTCTTTGCTTTACAAAGTGTTGCATACATTTTGCGCATACTGCGATAATCTTTCACCCCCCCCCCCCCGATTACCTGATAGAACCCTTCAAACCACAAGATACGTTTTGAGTTGCCATTGTTTGAAATGTTTTACGCATGCATGGAAATCACAAGACCTACATCACAATATGTACATTTGTATTAAAGCTGCATGCCTTTATGAATACCAACTACCGCTATTTAATTTTGTAGCACCCCATCCCCACCCATATTAATTCATTAACATTCCCACAAAAAAAAAAAAAAAAAAAAAATGATTCTTTGTACTATGCAACACTAGTTTGCATCGAGACTTGTCTGACAAATCACAGCTCGTAATCTGATAGAATTTAAAATAAGATTAAAACAAAATGACTTGCAAATGTGTGACTGTGTGCATATTGGGACTAATCCTATCAAGTGTACAATCTATTCAAAACTATTGTACATGCAGCAACATCAGAAATAATTTAAGATTTTAATCATCTTCAGGAAATTTATTTATACAAGTTTTAGCTTGTTTAAATACACTATATATACAAAATGTACATATATAAGTAGGGGTCAACCCTTTGATGTTCAGCTCAAGGTAGGATTTGAACTTGGGTCTACTGCTCACGAGTGATGCAACAACTATGCCATTTACTTGATTTGATAGTTCCAAGAACTTACCTGCAGGTAGTTCGGGTGTTGTTAAAAATTCACTTCTTGCACAAGACGATGAATCAAAGTCAACATGATTAACAATGATCAAAAACTGCCTCCCATCAAACTGAAACGATTCTATTTCTTCACCTTTGCTTGTTTTAATTTCCTAACAAAAATAATGAATAGCAACAATTTTCAATTAAACAAGCAGACAAAACCTCTCGTGTCATATCATCCGCTGTTTGTGTTACCATGGATACATGCATCAGTGAAAACTGGCAGGATGAAAGAGAATGGAACACTAAAGAGCAAGCCTGGTAACTCAGCAAGATTTGATGACCATTTATATTCAAGATTTACCGATATTGTATAATAGAGCCTCAATGAAGTGGCATAAAACGAGCCTACAGTTCTTAATCCACTTTGTTAACATGAAACAAAAGTGTTGCACATCGCTTTGTGTATACCATGCAACATGCACAAAATATCACCACACAATTTGAATGCTGCACTGTTAACTGCCTTAAATGAAAGACTAATGGGTGTATTTAAAGATCAAGTAAGTACATATGACAGTTAATTAGAAAACAAAATCACCAGTGTCATGTCAAACTGCTGTGCGGTCTCATTCCATTGATACAATTTGGAGGTAGTACACGTTGCAGTTACAATTTGGCTGGAAGATCTCATCATAGCTAACCACTGTATCCCATCTAACACAAATGAACTCCACTTAATTGTTCCTTCATTCTGAAATACCTGTTCAAGCTTCAAGTAATCCATATATACTGCAACATCTATTAAAAAAATGTTTGCAGATTTTGGAATTGAGAAAATAGAGACTTGAAAAACAAGATTATAAATTTCATTCAGAACAATGAAAAAGAAGACCAATATTAAAAGGGCGACAGTCGCCGTGCCACGTCCTTTTCGATATGGGACTTAGCAACGTATGCAAGCATGTAAAACACATTGTTTTTTTACATGAAATTTGAACATGCGCTGCGCGATGACCACTGCGCTTTAAACATCACTGGCATTTAATGCAGCAATAAGCTGTGATTTTGAAATTTTGTTTATACCATAAAGATGACCAAATGCCTTACCAAATATTGTTTCAGACACAAATGCATGGGCAAAGTGACTGTACACCAGGCGAATATCGTGTGAAATGTGATGCGACAGCTAAGAATCTAATAATTGCCAAAACGTTGAAATTAATGATGCAATAGGAATCTTAGATAATTGTGATTACAGTATTACGGGAAATAATTCAGTGAGGCAATCAAAGCCTTAAGCTCAAGAGAGACATTTGACGTTACTTCTTGGGCCACGGTAAGTTTGTCCTGCATCATCACCCTTAAGATTTGCAACAAAAATTGTATTTCAATAGATTGAGAACCGACTAGGACGCCATCTTTTTCCCACTTGCAAGTGATTTAATGTACAATGTTGGTATATACATGTAGTGCACATCCTAATCTTTTAGTGTACACATCGAAAATTATTTTTTTTTTTTTTTTAAATCAAACAATCAGAAAAAGATGTATAGTCACATTTATTGTCACCTCAATGTTCATTACCAGTATTTTGATGATTTGAGTCATTTCACTAGGTTTTAATATTACCAACATGGGAGGAAAAAAAATTTAATCTACATGTTCACATGGATCCGTTTAGTGAAATTTACATGTATATAGTGAAATTAAAAACCAAGCAAATAACGAGTATACACTAAACTAACAGAAATAATTGGAAACCTACCATCTGCTGCTTCATGCATTTCTTCCAGTACTTCACAACGGTATTCTACACTAGTATTTAAAGTATTAAACACTTGGTAACTGTATACGGAATTGTATAAATCTGTGATATCAACATCGTCAATTAAACCGTTCACTTCTATGAAGTCAAATACTGTCTCTTCAGTGAATACAACTGTGCCATACACAATCTGGTTCTCAGAAATCAACATCTGAAAGAAAAAATAACGTATTATGCATCACATAAAGCAACAAAAACAGAAATGCTTTTGTCATTTCAGGCTATAATATCATAGGATTAATACTACAAATGGAAAAAAAAAAAATGTACGCCTGGTGTAATAAGGTTATCACAAGAATGATGCAAAGTACTGTAATAAAACGCTTTATTTTTGCTTGGAATTTATTTTCTCTGAAGGAATGATTCAGTGAAAATAAAATTCAGCGAATATACCTTTTTTCCTATATTTTACATTTAACTTGTCAAAAATCATTGAAAATAAATTCCATACAAAATAACCAAAATGTCTATTCAGCGAAAATTTATTCCCGCTAAAATAAAGTATACTACAGTATACTACAGTATGCCCCTTTTATGTGCTCACTGGGCTGCTTTTGTACATACTTCACTTGTAACCTACATGTAGTATGATATCACAATTGGGAAAATTGGCGTTGAAGTGCATCTCCAATAGAAATGCATATAAACCAATAATTCTATATGCATGGATATGCAATAATTAAAATGCAGCTTCTTAAAAAAAAAAATGTAATAAAACAAATGCAGTCGTGTACAAATCCTGATCAGAACCACTAAAACTCAACTCTTAAGACTGCATAATGTAATATTACCATTGAAAATATTAAAATTGACACCATCTTGGGCAGATTACATGCAAAACAAACTCAACACGAACTGCACAAACTTGTTTCTCCAGATCAAATGTTTTAGGTGATGTCATACACAACCCCACAATTGGTGAACTGAAAAAGCTTAGAAGTAATAAAGTGAGCCAGATTTACAAGACAAACAATCCTAAAAAGTACTTGTAATCAGTGTATGAAATGTTGTAATCTTGCCCTTTGAAGTAAATTCTGATATCTATAAAATATAGATAATGTTAATTACAAAGAGTACAAGAAAGCACAATTTTAGTAAAACACAAAACTTGGTATTTTTGGGGGAAAAAAATAAGGACATTTTGTGTACTTTGATATTTACTAAACTTTAACAAAAATATGTCGGCACAAACCACATTGAATTGAGGGTAATCACAGCCACTGTGCAAGATTTACATTTCTAAAATCTAACTAGCATTACATATAAAACAATTTATGATGCAAGAGATTCTAATAAAGCAAATATAAATACCAGACATTTCACAATTCGAGCAATGACCCTAATAAAATCCATATGGGACATTTCACTAACCGTATTGTTCTTCAAATCATTTAAGTCAACCTTGTTAATTTCACCAGTAACAAACAAGCCTCCTGAAAACACAACATTATCTAAGAAGCCCTTATTATGAGTTATCGTCTGCTTTCCATACTTTAGTAATAATGTACTTTCAGACACATCCACATTATCAACAAGCCCATAAACCCTGCAAAAAAAAAAAATATCACACAACATAAATATCAAAATAACACAAATAATTGGTTTAGTGTTATTGAATACAAATCCAGTACTCTAACCCCTCCATCCCCACCTTTCTTACCTAAAAAATACACATGCATATAGTACAGCATGTGCATGCTTTGCCACAAAAACCCAATATTACACGTTTCCCAAATAACTGCATACGACAATTTAATTTGCTATCCCAACACCAACCAGGTATGATAAAATACAATTGCGGACATAACCAAAAGTGATGATAGGTCTAAGCACTTATAGCATTGGTTATTCATCTTTTATTCAGCCATTTAGAATCCGATTTGAAAAACATGCAGTGCATCAGGGACCCATAATGTCTAATGTATGTACCAAGTTTGAACAAAATCAATCCATAAACTACATGTATCAAGATCTGGTTTCGGAATGATTGATTTGATGATTTTTTTAGCACAAAAATGGCCACCATTTGGCCACTTTGAATTGTCAAACAAATACATATGTATATCTACGACATGAAGTATAATGAATGCATAAAATTTGAATACAAGTCAAAGCATGTTGATATGGCTTTAGAATCTCCTTCATTTAAACAAAATGGCAACCAGTCTGCCATTTTGAATCCACTCTGAATATCAAAAGGATGCGCATCAAAGTCTCAATGCCCATATGCATGATATTGCACAAGGTTGGTCCAGGCATGTCTAGGATATAGATCCGGACTCTAGTGCACATGCACAAAGTTCCTGTTTTGCGGCTGTCTGAACGAGGACTAAAACAGTTTATAAAGTTGAAAATATTTACCTCAGGTCACCTGTACAATTAATTTCAGTGAATGTCTTTTCTCCAGTAATATTAAAATTCCTGTCAACATAGACTGCATTCTCTGCCCAAAAAGATACATCAACGCCATCTATTAAATTGCCATCACTGATGACTAAATTTTCCTCCAATATCAGACCACCAGTAAATGTTTTCACACCAGTTATATTGTTGTTTGCCGAGAATCGCATAGAATTGTGGGATAGATCCACACCATCTGTCAAGCCATGCACATAAACATTATCTGGGGAGGGAAAAAAAATTGATTCAATGTGGGTCCCATGCAACACTGTACAACACATAAAATACATTGCCTATTTTAATGCATGATGACTGTGGCACTGCTGCGCGTGTGTGGCATTTCTTCAAAGTAGAGTAGAGTACCGAAACGACACTGTACAACAGGCGATATAAACTGGCAAATCGCAAGCCTCCATAATGGTTATTTTTACCCACCTTCTACAGTGATGTTGCTGCTAAAAACTGTCGGGACATTAACCAAGAGGGAACTATTAGTCAGCAACACATTCTCTGACCAATCCATGAAGTATACATCATTAAGATAGCCATACAAATGTATTTCATCTGCACTGACATTATAATCCACATATACAGTTCCTGGAAGTTCATTGAACTGTTCACCATCTGGGCTTTAGTCAAGCTCATATACTGAGCATTCAGAAATTCAACATCAATACCATTTACAAGACCATCTATTGTGAAGTTCTGTCCAATAAAACAAAAAATTTAATAGAATGTTTCTGAATGTCTGAAAATACTGTATTGTGTCCAATATATTTCAAATATATTCAAGTATATACCTTGGCATGATAGCTTGCTTGAGATTGGTGGGTGACAAATGTTAAGAGTGGTGTGGCTTGCAAGATCTTTGCAGATCGTACATGAAAGTTTAATACCCTTGTTTTATAAATCATTGGTTCTACTAAGTTTACTTAAAACTTCATACTACTACATGCATCTTGTATTACAGGCATTGTGTGGACCATGCGATTACAGGAATAAGGTCAATCAAGGCACACATTTACAATACTTCAAATATTGCAAACTACTAGAGAAATTAAGTCAACACTAGGAATTGAATAGTTTTTATGGAACTTCAAACAAGGTCGTAATTTTTTTTAGTATCTTTTCCCCCCACTAATTGTAATCACTCTAATTTTGACAACTTTTCATACAAACTGATTGTCAGCATAACCTCACAAATAACAGTAATCATACGCGTGTAAATGAATCCTATTCAAGTGTCCATGGTGAAATTCTACAGTATATACATCAATAGGGTCACTTTCACTGCGATTATGCCTGGATTGCCTTATTCCTGAATTCTCCAAATAAATATTATTCACTGATAAATTGGAATCTAATTACCCGTTGGATAGTGAAATTACCACCGTATGTATGTACACCAGTGACAATTTGGTCAAGTCCAGTAGTGACTTTCATTGCATTGTCATTCAAGTATTCCAAGTCTATCTCCTCAACAGTAACATTACCACTAACAGATACATCACCAAAATTAACATTACCTAAATTGCGAGATGAACAAAAAGTCAGAATCACAATATTATTACACATGTATCTGAATGCTCATTAGATTTCAGACTGAATCACGCTTGTAAAAATTCAGATAACTGGTTATTTCATGGCAATATCAAGGAATACAAAAATTGTTCATTAGTTTTAAAGAGTTACTTATTGTTATAGTTCAAAATAACTAATGCAAGGAATCATACTTCCAGTTCACTTTTAGAAACTTATTTCATAAACTGAACACTGTTTTGGCAAGGTGGTTATGCCACATTTGGCAGGCATATTTTGTGGTAGGATTTTCAGTACACAGTATAAAGTTTAAATAGAGCATGCATACAGTAATCCAATCAAGATTTAGTTATGGCCGAAATATTGTTCAAATCACTAATTTTCGTTTCATTTTCAGTTGACAACATTTTATCACAGGTCGGGTTTGTATCTAGATGTTAGAAAACTTGTTGGCATTTGTTCTTGTTTAAAGAAAGCGGGCACAGACTCACAGTAAATTAAGAATTTCATTTTAGTCAGTTTTGCATTGGTGGACATTTGGCATTTTGTACGAACATCCAGTATTTCTGGGAAGTTCTTTATCATTTTTCAGTGAGCCACTATAATGCAAGTTCAGAGCAGCTTGTGGG